TGCGGAACCTCACCAGCCCATCCAGAAACGATGCCCAGGCGAGTTGCCCTGATCAGGGATGTGGAGGAGCATGCAGAAGACTCAAAGGGTGGGTGGGTCAACCGTCGCACCCCGAGACGGGGAGGATGGAGGAGGATTCAGAGGAGGAGGAGAAGGAGGAGGAGGAGGAGGAAGGAGGAGAAGGAGGAGGAGGAGGATGAGGATGAGGAGGAGGAGGTGAAGGATGAGGAGGAGGAGGAGGAGGAGGAGGAGGAAGAGGAGAGCGAACAGAAATGTCAGAGGCCTCTTTGTTGTCTCAGAGTCTCTTCGGATGTCTCTTGAGGGCTCCTTGGGGTCATATTGTGGCGTCTTGGGGGACACTTGGCGGTCTCAGGGGCCTCGTGGAGCGTCTTGCCTCGGTGGAGCCTCTCGGGGCTCTCTTGGGTGGCCTCTTGGGGCCTCCTGGGCGCCTTCTGGAAGCCTCCTGGGCGCCTCTTGGATCTCTCTTAAGGCACTCTTGGGAGCCATTTTGGGGCCATCTTGGAGGAGCTCGGTCAACGAACGGAGGGTCCCATGTTTTACCCCCCCTCTCAGGAGGCCAACATGTGGCCAACACCTTAGACCATGTTAGCCAGCGTGGACCCCCAACGGTGTGTTTCTAGCAATCTATGTGGTGCACGATGGGTTTTACAATCTAAGTGGTGCTTTCTAAGCTGTGCGCTATATGTAATGCAATCTAAGTGGTGCAATCTATGTTGTTCAATCTACGTAGTGCATGATATGTGGTGCAATCCATGTTATGCAGTATGTGTAGTGCAGTCTATGGTGTGAACAATCAAACAGTGCACCGTCGGCGCGAAAACAAACACAACTTGTGCAATCTTAGTGTTGCAATATATGTGGGACAATCCTTGTGGTGCAGTCTAGGTGGTGTAACCTATGCGGTGCAACCTGCGTGGTGCAAGCTGTCCTGTGCAATACGTGTTGTGCAACCTATGTGGCCGTGCAAAATAGGTTGTGCAATCTAGGTGGTGCAATCTAGATATTGCAACATTTGTATGTTTTCAATGTAGATTTTGCAATATATGTTGTGCAACCGATGTGGTGCATTCTATGGTGCGTGCGATGAAGAAGCGCGCCGCAGGCGCGAGCATTTTTTCGTGCAATTGATGTTGTTAAATCTGCGGTGTGCAAGCTATGTGGTGCAATCTATGCTGTGTGCGATCAAGTTGCGCGCCGCAGGCGCGAACATTTTTTCGTGCAATCTAGGTGGTGCAATCTGACGGCGGCGACGAGGCGGCGACGGGGCGTCGACGGGGCGGCGATGGCGGCCCCATAGCCGCCAGACCGAAGACACGGCCCAGACGACGGGCGGCGACGAGGCGGCGACGTGGCGGCGACTGCGGCTACATAGCCGTCAGACCGAAGACATGCCCAGTTCCGTAGAACAGAATTGAGAAAGAGGGCGTTCTGTGGTCGCTTGGAGGCGGGGGGTGGTTGGAACCGACCCCCCCCCCTTTGGATGGAGGGGGGGAGGGGGTTTCGACCCCCCTCCCTCCCCGTGACGGAGGGGGGAGGGGGGTTTCGACCCTACCCCCTCCCCCCCTCCCCTACTTCTCCTCTCTCCCTCTTCTCGGGCTAGCGCCTGCGTCGGCGGCGGCTGGCGGCGGCGGAGGGGACGACGACTTCCTTTTCTGGGCCAGCGCCGGCGCCTGCGGCGGCGGGCGGCGGCGGCGGGGAGCGTCGATGAGGACGACGGTGGTGGTGGTGGTGGTGGGTTGTGGTGGTGGTGGTGGTTGCGGTGGTGGTGGTTGTGGTGGTGGTGGTGATGTGGTGGTGGTGGTGGTGGGTGGTGGTGGTGGTGGTGGTTTGTTGTCGTGGTGGTGGTGGTTGTGGTGGTGGTGGTGGGTTGTGATGGTAGCGGTGGTTTGTTGAGGTGGTGCTGGTGGTGGTGGTGACGGTGGTTGATGTGGTGGTGTGGTGGTGTGGTGGTTTGTAGTGGTGGTGGTTGTGGGTTGTGCTGCTGGTAGTAGTGGTGGTTGTGGCGGTGGTGGTGGTGGTGTGGTAGAATGTGGTGGTGGTAGTAGTGTTTTTTTTGTGTGGTGGTGGTGGTGGTGAGTTGTGGTGGTGGTGGTTGTGGTGGTGGTGGTGGGTTGCGGTGGTGGTGGTGGTGGTTTGTGGGGGTGGTGCTGGTGGTGGTGGTGGTGGCGGTGGTGGATGTGGCGGTGTGGTGGCGTGGCGGTTTGTCGTGGTGGTGGTTGTGGGTTGTGCTGCTGGTAGTGGTGGTGGTTGTAGTGGTGGTGGTGGTGTGGTAGACTGTGATGGTGGTAGTAGTGGTTGGATTTTGTTGTTGTTGTTGTTGTTGTTGTTGTTGTTGTTGTTGTTGTTGTTGTTGTTGTTGTTGTTGTTGTTGTTGTTGTTGTTGTTGTTGTTTTTTTTTTTTTTTGTGTGGTGGTGGTGGTGGCGAGTGTTGGTGGTGGTGGTGGTAGTGGTGGTGGTGGTGGGTTGTGGTGGTGGTGGTCGTGGTGGCGGTTGTGTGGTGGGTTGGTGGTGGCGGTGGTGGTGGGCTGAGGTTGTGGTGGTGGTAGTGGTGGTGGTGGTAGTGGTGGTCATCGTCGCTTCGTCCCCGCTTTTGCCGGCGCCGGCGCCGGCGCTGCTGGCCGCCGCCAGCGCCGGCCCCAACGCAGGTGCGGGGGAGGGGGGGGGGTTGCCCTTCTTGGGCTGCCTCTGGTCATCGTCGCTGCGTCCCCAACGTCGGCGCTGCTGGCGGCCGCCAGCGCCGGCGCCCGCGCCGGGGGGGGGTTTGAACCCTTCCCCCCCTGGGAGAGGGGGGGGGTCGCGAGGGGGGGGGGTTGGGGGGGAGGGGAGCCCCCCTGGTTCTGATCGACGGCGCCGAGTGTTGGGGGGGGGCCCACCCCCCGGTTCGAATCGCGCTGCCGAATGTTCCTAAGGCAAGCGCCCGTGAAACGCGCTGTAGAACCCCTAAGTGCAAGCACTGTTTGGGGAACCTGTGAATTTTACATTCTCCCCGAGGCCGTCCTGGCCGCTCAAATGGGTCGCGCCCCTCCCCCCCGCCAGGTTCAGGGGTGGGGGGAGGGGGGGGGTCAAGCTACCCACCCGCTCGCAAGCCGTCTAGTAGCTCACTCCCACACGCCGTCCCTACACATAAGCCTGATCATGTCCAGCGGTCGTCTTTGGATGGGCAGTTCTTGGGAACCAGAGCCGACCCCAGGTGCGCGACGCTTGGGCGAGGTGCGCCACGCGAGCCAGGGACGCCACGCGCGCCAGGCACCCCTGAGGCCCGAGCGTGCCAGGCACGGCTGGTGCGCCAGATGCGCCACGTGTTCCGAGTGCGCCAAGTGTGCCGCACATTCCAGCCGCGCCAGGTGCGCCCCGTTAGGGGCACGTGCAGAGTGCGTCATGTGTGCCTGAGCACGTGACAGCACGCATCGGGAAACATGTCGGCCCCCGCCATCAATGTCGAAAACCGATGCCCATCATTGTGTTTGGTGGGCCTGCGCACAGCAGGCCACGCGCCACCACCCCCGCCGTCGCTGTCAAGAACCATGTGGCAATGATCGCGGGATGGCCGCACATGATCCAAATTTAGCCGCGAGGTGCATGTTGTATTGCTTTGTGTCTGGGATGGTAGCCCTGCGCGCAGCAAGGAATAT